CAGCCGGCGCCAAACCCTCACTGCAGCAGGCCCCCGAGCAGCCCCTAGCACACCCTAAACCCTAAACCCTAAACCCTAAACCCTAAACCCTAAGCAATTCGCTGCGCATTGCTTTTTAACGCGCAGGCCTTGTACTCTTACCTTCTTGCAAAGAAGTATTACCTGCTGAGAGCCAAAGAGCCCTTGCAGGGGGAAATGGTGAGAATGTACAGGGTTTAGGGTTTAGGGTTTAGGGTTTAGGGTTTAGGGCTTAGGGTTTAGGGTTTAGGGTTTAGGGTTTTCGCGTTGGGCAGTCCCCCTAGTTTGATACGACTTTGCGTGTGGGAGGCTTGTGGCGCCCAGCTCTCTGCGTCCCATTCGTCCTACATCCTAGGGTTTAGGGTTTAGGGTTTAGGGTTTAGGGTTTAGGGTTTGTGCAGGTCCCCGAACTGCTGCTGCTCGCCAAATGCTGCGGCCTTGTTGGCTCTGTAGTAGAAGGCCGAGTCTATTTAGATGAACTTCGCCTTCTTGTAGAAAACTCTTTAAAGAAGTTGGGGGGCCCCGAGGGGGCCCCCGGGGGGCCCCCCGGGGGGGCCCCCGGGGGGGCCCCCCCCAAGGGGGCCCCGGGGGGGGCCCCCGGGGGAGCCCCCCCCAAGGAGGCCCCCGGGGGGGCCCCCTCCAAGGGGGCCCCCCCCAAGGGGGCCCCTTCCATGCCTCCTGCCAAGGGGGCCCCCGCGGGGGCCCCCAAGGCAGCTCCTGCTGCAGCTTCTGTCGTGCGCAAACCCTAAACCCTTAACGCCAAACCCTAGACCCTCAGCGCCAAACCCTAAACCCTCAACGCCAAACCCTAAACCCTCAGCATTAAGCCCGAGTTAATCGCGCAGAAGCGCAGCTGTGAGCTACAGACAGCCGCAGCCCCGCAGGCACGGTCCACCGTCTCCGGGGCTAAGGGTTTAGGGTTTAGGGTTTAGGGTTTAGGGTTTAGGGTTTAGGGTTTCGTGTGCAGGGCCCCTTCATATCCTGCGAGCCGCACGTGCTGGCGTCTATAGTAGCTTCTGTTGCAGAGCTGTGTTCTCTGTACCGCTTGCCGGAGCTTTCGAAGACTTATTTCCAGCAGTAAACCCTAAACCCTAATCCCTTAAACCCTAAGCCCTAAACCCTAAACCCTAAACCCTAACCCCCGCCGCTGCTCGCGCTTCCTCCCCGCTGCTCAGCTTGCCTCCCGCCCCCCCCTCGCTGCCCAGTGCTCCGCGCGCAGCTCGGGCCCGCGCCTAGGTTTTAGGGTTTAGGGTTTAGGGTTTAGGGTTTAGGGTTTAGGGTTTAGGGTTTGCGGCGCAGCTACGTGGCTCTGTGCCGCCGCGTGCACGCGGGAAACCCCCTGGCGGTTTCGGACGCCCTCGGAGTTGCTGCTTTATTTCTTTTTCGCCAAAACCTCTTTTCCGACTGTCTCCCCGTGCTGCAGGAGATGCTGCTGCTGCGGCAGCAGCAGCTGGGAGACGCAGAAGCAGCAAACCCTAATCCGCGGGTTGCAGACGTTTACGCGAACCTCGGACTCGTCTTCAGGCTCCTAGGCAACCCTAAACCCTAAACCCTAAACCCTAAACCCTAAACCCTAACTCTGAGCCCTAGCCGTGGGCAGGGCGGCGCCGCCGCCGGCGGGGCGCCGCGGACGCTCGCGGTGCGCGGGAGTCGCCGCGCGCCTAGGGTTTAGGGTTTAGGGTTTAGGGTTTGGGGTTTAGGGTTTAGGGTTTGCTGCAGGAAGGCCTGCTGATGCGTTTCCAAACATTCTCACTGCGCTGGACATGCGCATGCGGATTCACCAGAACAGGGACTGCGAGCCGGTCCAGGTCAGGGCTTAGGGTTTAGGGTTTAGGGTTTAGGGTTTAGGGTTTAGGGTTTAGGGTTTAGGGTTTGGGGCAGAGAAGTCCCGGGCTCCTGATTGGCTGTTTCCACTAATGGTCGCTTACCAAAGTCGGTGGCTTTCCGGCGGCGCGCGCCCCTCGTGAAGCCAGGCCCTCGGGCCGGGGGTTTAGGGTTTAGGGTTTAGGGTTTAGGGTTTAGGGTTTAGGGTTTGCTGCAGGACCTGGTGCTGGCGCTGGGCTGCGTCCAGCACCAGGGCGGCCGCCTCAGAGAAGCCCTCGAGGCCTATAAAGAGGTTTATTTTTTCCGCAGCAAAACCCTCGGCCCGCAGCACCCGGACACTTTGACTGTGCAGCAGCTGCTTTCCATGGTAAACCCTAAACCCTAAACCCTAAACCCTAAACCCTAAACCCCAAGCCCCGAGCCCGAAGCCGGGAGCCCTAGGGGCGGCGCTGCGCGGGGCTGCGGCGGGGCGCCGCGGCGGCCGCGCTGGGGGCTTCGCGGCCGAGCCGCAGGGTTTAGGGTTTAGGGTTTAGGGTTTAGGGTTTAGGGTTTAGGGTTTGCGCAGCTGGAGGCGGACTTGTTTCGCGCGGTGGAGCGCAAGGAGCTGCAGCGCAGCAGCAGCAAAGAGCTGCTGCCGCTTTTTGACTTCGAAGAACTT